CACACACACACACACACACACACACACACACACACACACACACACACTCTCTTTGCCTTTGTCTTCTCTTTTCTCACTCTGGGTTCACTTGTTGTTGTTTTTTTTCTTTCACCAGATGCTGCTGGGATTTCTTTCTTATCTTATTGGTCACAGTCTACACAGAGAAGGGAAGACATTAGGATCGAGAGAGAGCAGGAAGAGGGATAATTCCCTCATTTAATTGGTTTCAAACTTATTCTCCCCTGGAGGAGCTGCTTCCTACACCGTTGTGGCCAAAACATGGACATTGATGCTAAACCCATTACATTTCACTGTAATTGGTCAAGCTATGAGCTCACGTTAACAAGTCTTTCGCAGTTGATTGGCATTCTCTGCAGCAGTGGTCACAAATCCCTGTCATTTCAGCAGGATAAAGTAGTCAGCTTTAGACTCTTAATTTCCCTGTCATGTATTCAGCTTCTCTGACTGAAGCCACAGGAAGTAAATGAGAGCAGGACACCCCCACTGAAACATTAGTTGTGATACGAGGAGTTTTATGTTCCTATGCCTGCTGTATGTATTCTCAACAAGAGGAGAGAAGGAAGAATATTAAATTGCAAACCTTTGGCACTTTAATGTTTAATGCTTTTTAACTTTACATAATGGTTTTCTTTGTAATTATTTCGGATATTTTTGTATTTTAACATATTATGGTTATTTAACTCTTGAATTGTACACAGTTCAGCCCACCAAGGATGCTTCCTTTGTTGCAATAGTATAAAGTTAACTAAAGTTAACTAAACTTTCACACTGCTTATCTCAAATCAAATCAAAATCATATTTCTTATGGATGAAGTATAAGGTTATAGTGATGACTCTAAATATAACTATTTTATCAAAACAATTTCAAATTGTTTTGGGGTTTTGGATGTTAAAAACGGCACAGTTTCAAGGACCTGCAGCTATTTTCCTACATTTCCTTACATTACTTTACATAATAGAAAATGACTTAATGTTTCTGTGTTTAATGACATTGTTATATTAACTTATTTTTCCTGAACTTACATTATACTCTATTTAAATCTACAGGCTGCTGCTATTGTATTTTGTCAAAGGTTCCTGCATTAAAGAGACGGGGACTTTTTTTAAGTTGAATTTTAATTCAGGTTGGTTTTTAGCCACTAGTGGACAGTAGAACAGACGCAGAAGCGGTTACAACTAATGTGTTGAAAACTAATAAACTTCAAGTTGAACATTCACCCTTGTTTCATCACTGAAACACAAAAACTTCAACAATGGACAATTCTGCAAAACCCTGGATTAGAATGAGTGCCAACAATTTAAACCTACAACAAATCTTAAAATCTAGCTTCTGCGATAACTTCATGGTTATTTTAAATGCATGTGTGTGACAGAACACAAACTTCAGTCACACGCAACAAAGGCAGACTCCTTACTCAACCACCCACCATTCCAACCGGCACACCCTTACAATCCGCCAAACACCATTTACAGTAGGGCACACTACTTGCATCACCACTAAACGCTGGTATTGGAAGAAATTGTGACATTCAGAATAATCCAGTGTACTGGGCTGTCTTAAGTGGCTCGATGTGAGACTTTCTTCTACGGTGGTGTTATCAGAACCTGTTTGCTGAGAACAAGGAAACGATGTTGTTAAGCAGTGAACCTCAATCATACATGAATGTGCTGTGAAACCAAAACAATAAGCTAAAAGAGGCTATACAATTAGGTGATTATCCTCTGTGGTTGTGTCACTTTGAGTAACCCTCTTTCTCACATGCATTCATTCGATTCCATGTTGAAACAAAAAAGTATTAAGTGATGCAGATTTGATTTTTTGGCCCCAATCATTCACAGAATTCTCTGTGGTACAAATTACAGTGAGAACAAGAGACTTGGAAAAACAGATCTGCAGACATCAGGGACACAGATGCGACGCATAGCCATTACAGTAAACGATAGTGAAAGCACAGTAGCAGGCGCAGAGAGAAAATACAGGGGAACATAGTCACGTCAGGGTGTATTATAGAGACCCAGAGCTGGGATGATGATGCACAGTGTGAGAGACCGGCTCAATCACTGAATGTGATTGAAGTACCATGTGTGGCACTCCAAAGTCTGGCCCTCGTGATGCATTGCCCACTCCTCATTTTACCTCCTCGGCCAACTCTAAGATGTTTCACGACCAGTCACCTGCTACCCACTACTGGCTGGACGTCAGCACCAGTTATGCTGGCAAATAAAATAATTATTTGGCAGTTTATTTGTGGCTGTTTGGAGAAACGTCTTAGCCGGGACTTGCTGTGTTTCAGGTGTTTGCATGCTCAAATGTGTTAGGATGCATGTGTTTACTTGTGTTTGAAGGCGTGTGTGTAAGTGTTTGTCTGCCTCTGTGTATCCATGCACTCTTTTCTGTGTGTGTGTGTGTGTGTGTGTGTTTGTGCTCATGTGTGTATAAGAAAGAGAGGGGTTAGGGAGAAGTCACTGAGTCAATGCATAACCTTGTCTAACCGACTGGGTATCAAACTCATGACAACTAAAACTTTTTCAGCCCTGAAGCCTATTTATACACCCATACAAGCCTCTTTGATGTCGGCACTTAAAAGCACCACTAACTCACCCTGGAGGAAGAGCCTGGCACACAGAGGATGCTCTGGATGTCTCAGCCTGTGTGTGTATGTGTGAGAATATGTGCGCGCATGTATGTGTGTATGTGCATGCTCGCCATCCGTGTTTAGCTCCTTGATGACTAACCATTTTTAAACTTTGATATTTCTAGACTTTACACCTCTCCTCCCTTTTATGTCCATCTGTTCCAACGTCTGAAAGTCTTTGTCTTTGTCTTGGGGTGAGATGTTTTAATAAGCTTTCACACAAATAAATTCTGCCAGAGCAAAAAAATGACTCTTCATGTCTAAACCTGAGCTGCAATTTGTCAGATTGTTGAGTAGATATACTGTGAATGTGTCTTTTCTGTCAACAAGCCACTGATCTGATAGCCGACTGTACATTGTAATTCTCAGACTGCCTATAGTCTACTTGGCTACTTGGCAAATCCATACTTGGCATCACGCCATTTCAATTATCTTTTGCTTTCACTTTCCTTAGAGTAATCTTTTAATCTTACCGCTACCCACCTTAGTCCCTGCCCCGTCTTTGAAAATCACTTAGCATTTTTCTCTCTCTTTAATGTCCATCAAATATTGAATCTTTTCTTCTGTTTTCATGCTGTGTCGTGTCTTGCAGCAGCCTACTGCTGAGCAGAAGCCTGCTAACAGCACTATTCTGTGACATTTTCATTTTTAAAAATGCCAATTTTGATTGAACTCATACCAGGATTCAATTTAAATTCTAAGCATTTGTTGCATTTGCTGTCGTAGAGGGATTTTATTTAAACAAAAACTTTTGAACTAGAAGCGATATATATTTTACATTTCCATTTTTCTGTAAAAATCCCATTCTTTAAATTTTAGTGGGAATGCATCAAAGAAAAATAACAATTCATCACCAAAATGCAGGGATGACACAATAAAAGGTTTTTGGGACTGTGAGGCCCTTTAACAACATCACTGATGGGTGTGGTTGGAGGTGTGGTGTGTTGCACCTGTAACTACAGCCAATAGTGATGTCACAGGGTGCTGACCCACCCTAAAGTACATATACAGTATCACTGCAGTAAAGTGAGAAGTTACACTGTTTGAGGTCAGCAAAAATACAATTTTCAGCTGGTGTTCTGGTACAAAGTTGCTCTTTAAATCTTACAATTTGAATCCAACAAGAGGAAACTGATGAGTTAAAGATTTCTAGTTTTGAAGAGAAAACA